TCCGGGAAGAATTCTGTACTCGGTGTCAGCCTTAGACGAGGATGTAGGAGAAAACGCCAAAGTGTCTTACTCTATTCTGGAGTCTAAAGTGCAGGACGTGTCAGTCTCGTCTTATGTCTACATAAACTCAGAGAACGGCAGCATCTACAGCATGCACTCGTTTGACTATGAGAAGCTCAAGGTGTTTCAGATCGTGGTCCAGGCCAAGGACCAGGGCTCTCCGAGTCTCAGCAGCAACGCCACGGTCCATGTTTTTATCCTGGACCAGAACGATAACGCCCCCGCTGTTATTTACCCCTCCTCCGCTGGCCTGGGCTCCCTCTCTCTCCAGAGGATGCCCCGCTCCGCTAAAGCGGGTCACCTGGTTACCAAGGTGACGGCCGTGGACGCGGACTCGGGTCATAACGCGTGGATCTCGTACAAAGTGGCGGAGGCCACGGACGCGTCTCTGTTCGGTGTGAACCAGTACACAGGGGAGGTGAGGACTAAACGCGCTGTGGCCGAGCAGGACGACTCCTCTCAGAGGCTGCTCATAGAGATCAGGGACGACGGTGAACCGGTGCAGTCCGCCACCGTCACGGTGTCCATCCTGATGGAGGACGGTCTGCACGAGCCCATCCTGGACAACAGGCACAGAGCAACGGAGTCCGGAGGGAAAACTGGCCGCCTCGCGCTCTATCTGATCCTGTCTCTGGCCTCGGTGTCTGTGCTGTCTCTGGTGACTTTTCTCATCTTAGCGGTGAAATGTGTGAGGAACAGCAGGGGCAGCGCGAGCTGCTGCGTCAGACGCAGCGACTGTGACGATTACAAGAACCCCAACAGAAACCTGCAGATCCAGCTCAACACTGATGGACCTATAAAGTATGTGGAGGTCCTGGGGGGAGACATGATGTCTCAGAGCCAGTCGTTCAGATCGTGTATGTCTCCAATGTCAGAGTACAGTGACTTCACTTTGATTAAGCCCAGCAGCACCTCTGACTTTAAGGAGGTCATCAGTGTCCTGGATGCGTCTCTCCCAGACAGCACGTGGACATTTGAGAGTCAACAGGTGAGCACTACTGGCTTCAAAAAACCCTGAAGTTCCACTACGTACAATATAATGTGGCAAGAATTATTCTCCAAAATGTTTAGTCATGTTGTGGCCAAAATGTATCATATATTATATATATATATTTTATGAACAGGACAAAATTTAAATATGTGACCTTTATTTATGTATTTATTTATTTATGTTGTTTGTTTGTTTTGTTTTTTTGTTGTTGTTGTTTTTGTTTTTTTTCACATAGTATATAATTTGATTGAGTTTTTCTTAGTTGTTCTATTATTCTTATTTTCTGGTCAGCCTTTCAATAATTATGGGTTGCATTTTAATAACAGTAAAAGTTAATGTAGGCTACGTTTTATGTTAATTATAACAAAACTTTACCATGAAAATATAAGCTCAATAGTGTGTCCATGTCAGACAAGGGAAACCTGAATGCTCTGTGATTAGGATAGTCAGATTAGCTGCTCTCAGCCAATAGAATTCCTCCATGTACAAAGAGATCTACTCCTCTGCTGCTGAGTGCTACAGCCATAAGACTCGTCAGTGTTGTTCAGCGCGGAGATGCGCTGTTTTGCAGTTTCCCGTTTTGGGATATTAATGTTTGTTGAGAATAAATCGTTTATTGGATCTTACTTTTTAATGTCAGGAATGATGGGCTGACTCAATTTATCCACCAATGCGACTTGGATTATATTAAGGATTTATCAGTGACAAAAAGGATGGGTCGTGGAGCTGTGGCGTGGTGGACGCTCTGTTGGCATTATTTCTTTCTCTTGTGGAGTTTGACAGACGCACAGACTCGTTACAGCATCCCAGAGGAACTGAAGCAGGGCTCTGTGGTAGGAAATATCGCCAAAGATCTTGGTTTGGGGTTAACAGACATTTTTGAGCGCAAGATGCGTGTGGCTGCTGAGGCTGGGAAGCAGTATTTCACTGTGGACTCGGGGAAGGGTGAGCTGGTGGTGAACGACAGAATAGACAGAGAAGCTTTATGTGGACAAAGCGCCAGCTGCGTTTTGCCTCTGCAGGTCGTGACAGAAAATCCACTACAGCTTCATCGGATAGAAGTGGAAATACGAGATATTAATGATAATTCACCGGTGTTTGCAACACAACAGCATGTTTTAAAAATAGCAGAGTCTACTGTTGTAGGGGTTCGTTTCCCTTTAGAAACAGCTGAAGACCCAGATGCAGGAAGCAATTCTGTTAAGTCTTACAGTTTGAGTAAAAGCGAATGTTTTAGTCTAAAAATGAAGGAATTGCCTGGTGGTCTTCAGACCCCTGAGCTTGTATTAGAGAAAACGCTTGACAGAGAAAAACAGAGTGTACATGAAATGCTGGTAACTGCATTAGATGGAGGAAATCCTGTTAAAACTGGAGTAATGAAAATTACAGTTACAGTACTTGATAATAATGACAATATCCCCCTTTTTACAAAACCTGTGTACAACCTAACTATCCCTGAGAACAGTGAGTCGGGGGCAGTGCTAGTTAAAGTTGAAGCTACAGACCCGGATGAAGGTGTAAACGGACAGGTTGAATACGCATTTGCTCAACATACTCCAGAGTCTTTGTTAGCTTTGTTTAACGTAAATTCAGACACGGGTGAAATATCACTAACTGGACAATTGGACTATGAGCTCAATACTGTTTATGATTTGCGAATTACGGCAAAGACAAAGGTGTTCCTCAAATGGAGGGGCATTGTCGTGTACAGATTAATAGTAAATAGACATTAACGACAACGTTCCAGAAATCATTCCTAACTTCCACTCCTGGCCCAGTGCGCGAGGACGCAAATAAAGGCACTGTAGTGGCTTTAATCAGTGCCAGAGACCCAGACTCGGGCGATAATGGTAAAGTAGTTTTGAAACTGTTACCAGTGGGGTCTTCCTTTTAGGCTTAAACCCGTCTTTTTCTAATAATTACGCACTTGTCACTAGTGGTTCTTTAGACCGAGAGAGTTTCCCATTTTATAACATAGAGATAACAGCCACAGACTCGGGCTCTCCTCCTCTCTCCAGTAAGAAAACTATCCCTGTCAGTATCTCAGATGTGAACGACAACCCCCCAGTCTTCTCCCAGTCTTCTTATAATGTGTATTTAAAAGAGAACGGGGTCCCTGGCTCTATACTGTACTCGGTGTCAGCCTCGGACCTGGATTTTGGAGAAAACGCCAAAGTGTCTTACTCTATTCTGGACTCTAAAGTGCAGGACGTGTCAGTCTCGTCTTATGTCTACATAAACTCAGAGAACGGCAGCATCTACAGCATGCACTCGTTTGACTATGAGAAGCTCAAGGTGTTTCAGATCGTGGTCCAGGCCAAGGACCAGGGCTCTCCGAGTCTCAGCAGCAACGCCACGGTCCATGTTTTTATCCTGGACCAGAACGATAACGCCCCCGCTGTTATTTACCCCTCCTCCGCTGGCCTGGGCTCCCTCTCTCTCCAGAGGATGCCCCGCTCCGCTAAAGCGGGTCACCTGGTTACCAAGGTGACGGCCGTGGACGCGGACTCGGGTCATAACGCGTGGATCTCGTACAAAGTGGCGGAGGCCACGGACGCGTCTCTGTTCGGTGTGAACCAGTACACAGGGGAGGTGAGGACTAAACGCGCTGTGGCCGAGCAGGACGACTCCTCTCAGAGGCTGCTCATAGAGATCAGGGACGACGGTGAACCGGTGCAGTCCGCCACCGTCACGGTGTCCATCCTGATGGAGGACGGTCTGCACGAGCCCATCCTGGACAACAGGCACAGAGCAACGGAGTCCGGAGGGAAAACTGGCCGCCTCGCGCTCTATCTGATCCTGTCTCTGGCCTCGGTGTCTGTGCTGTCTCTGGTGACTTTTCTCATCTTAGCGGTGAAATGTGTGAGGAACAGCAGGGGCAGCGCGAGCTGCTGCGTCAGACGCAGCGACTGTGACGATTACAAGAACCCCAACAGAAACCTGCAGATCCAGCTCAACACTGATGGACCTATAAAGTATGTGGAGGTCCTGGGGGGAGACATGATGTCTCAGAGCCAGTCGTTCAGATCGTGTATGTCTCCAATGTCAGAGTACAGTGACTTCACTTTGATTAAGCCCAGCAGCACCTCTGACTTTAAGGAGGTCATCAGTGTCCTGGATGCGTCTCTCCCAGACAGCACGTGGACATTTGAGAGTCAACAGGTGAGAGTATGAGAAGATAAATATCAATTAGAAATTTCTCTAAAGTTCGTTCATTTTTTCTAGTGTGTCCTTTTATGTCTTCTTTACTGAGCAAGTTGTAGTTCAGCACCATGACTGTGGACAGCGTCTGTCCTCCGTGTAATGTTAGACTATTTTCTATTAATTTTTTTAAAACAGGTCAATTATGAAATAATTAGAAAATAATGGGAATTAATCATTCAAAATGTTCTGAACATTTTGTGCCATACATACATTTTATATAATATTTTATATACTGTACAGTTCTTTCTCATACATAACATATGTATCATTTTCTAGAGTTATTTGTCTTTTTAGTTCACATTTTTTGTGGTCAGACCTTGTAAATAATATATTTGTTCTGTAATATTACTGAAGCGTAATGTTCTATCTGTTCTAATGTGCTATGTTTGATGTTACGTTTAAACAAACTTTGCTGTTACTAGTTTATGTTAATTAACAAACTTTGCTCAACAAAATATAAGCTCGATAGTGTACATACAGAACAGGGAAACCTGAATGCTCTGTGATTGAATAGTGGTGTTAGCTGCTCTCAGCCAATAGAATTCCTCCATGTACAAAGAGATCTACTCCTCTGCTGCTGAGTGCTACAGCCATAAGACTCGTCAGTGTTGTTTCAGCGCGGAGATGCGCCTGTTTGCAGTTTCCCGTTTTGGGATATTAATGTTTGTTGAGAATAAATCGTTTATTGGATCTTACTTTTTAATGTCAGGAATGATGGGCTGACTCAATTTATCCACCAATGCGACTTGGACTGAGGATTTATCAGTGACAAAAAGGATGGGTCGTGGAGCAGTGGCGTGGTGGACGCTCTGTTGGCATTATTTCTTTCTCTTGTGGAGTTTGACAGACGCACAGACTCGTTACAGCATCCCAGAGGAACTGAAGCAGGGCTCTGTGGTAGGAAATATCGCCAAAGATCTTGGTTTGGGGTTAACAGACATTTTTGAGCGTAAGATGCGTGTGGCTGCTGAGGCTGGGAAGCAGTATTTCACTGTGGACTCGGGGAAGGGTGAGCTGGTGGTGAACGACAGAATAGACAGAGAAGCTTTATGTGGACAAAGCGCCAGCTGCGTGTTGCCTCTGCAGGTCGTGACAGAAAATCCACTACAGCTCCATCGGATAGAAGTGGAAATACGAGATATTAATGATAATTCGCCAGTGTTTTTAGCAAAGCAAAAGTCTTTGAAAATAGCAGAATCAACAGTCGCTGGGATTCGTTTTCCTTTAGAGACAGCTCAGGATCCGGATGTAGGTAGTAATACCGTGAAATCTTACACTCTGAGTAAAAGTGAATGTTTTAGCCTAAAAATGAAAGACTTGCCTCGTAACCGACAGGTCCCCGAGCTGGTTTTAGATAAAATGCTTGATCGAGAGAAACAAGGGGTTCATGAATTACTACTGACAGCATTAGATGGTGGTAATCCTGTTAAAAGTGGAACAATGAAAATATTCGTTACAGTACTTGATATTAATGATAACTTTCCTGTTTTTAAGAAGCCTCTGTACAATATAACTATTCCGGAAAACAGCTTACCGGGGTCAGTTCTAGTTACAGTTGCAGCTACAGACGCAGATGAAGGGGTAAATGGAGAGGTTCAGTATAGTTTTGCAGAGCACACACCCGAGACACATTTGTCTTTGTTTCTTATTAATTCAGACACGGGTGAATTATCCTTAGCAGGAAAATTAGACTATGAGCTCAATACTGTTTATGATTTGCCAATAACAGCCAGAGACAAAGGTGTTCCTGAAATGGAGGGGCATTGCCGTGTACAGATTATTGTAATAGACATGAACGACAACGTTCCAGAAATCATCCTAACTTCCACTCCTGGCCCAGTGCGCGAGGACGCAACAAAAGGCACTGTAGTGGCTTTGGTCAGTGCCAGAGACCTAGACTCGGGCGATAATGGCAAAGTAGTTTTAAAGTTACCAGTGGGGTCTCCCTTTAGTCTGAAACCCTCGTTTTCTAATAATTACGCACTTGTAACTAGTGGTTCTTTAGACCGAGAGAGTTTCCCATTTTATAACATAGAGATAACAGCCACAGACTCGGGCTCTCCTCCTCTCTCCAGTAAGAAAACTATCCCTGTCAGTATCTCAGATGTGAACGACAACCCCCCAGTCTTCTCCCAGTCTTCTTATAATGTGTATTTAAAAGAGAACGGGGTCCCTGGCTCTATACTGTACTCGGTGTCAGCCTCGGACCTGGATTTTGGAGAAAACGCCAAAGTGTCTTACTCTATTCTGGACTCTAAAGTGCAGGACGTGTCAGTCTCGTCTTATGTCTACATAAACTCAGAGAACGGCAGCATCTACAGCATGCACTCGTTTGACTATGAGAAGCTCAAGGTGTTTCAGATCGTGGTCCAGGCCAAGGACCAGGGCTCTCCGAGTCTCAGCAGCAACGCCACGGTCCATGTTTTTATCCTGGACCAGAACGATAACGCCCCCGCTGTTATTTACCCCTCCTCCGCTGGCCTGGGCTCCCTCTCTCTCTCCAGAGGATGCCCCGCTCCGCTAAAGCGGGTCACCTGGTTACCAAGGTGACGGCCGTGGACGCGGACTCGGGTCATAACGCGTGGATCTCGTACAAAGTGGCGGAGGCCACGGACGCGTCTCTGTTCGGTGTGAACCAGTACACAGGGGAGGTGAGGACTAAACGCGCTGTGGCCGAGCAGGACGACTCCTCTCAGAGGCTGCTCATAGAGATCAGGGACGACGGTGAACCGGTGCAGTCCGCCACCGTCACGGTGTCCATCCTGATGGAGGACGGTCTGCACGAGCCCATCCTGGACAACAGGCACAGAGCAACGGAGTCCGGAGGGAAAACTGGCCGCCTCGCGCTCTATCTGATCCTGTCTCTGGCCTCGGTGTCTGTGCTGTCTCTGGTGACTTTTCTCATCTTAGCGGTGAAATGTGTGAGGAACAGCAGGGGCAGCGCGAGCTGCTGCGTCAGACGCAGCGACTGTGACGATTACAAGAACCCCAACAGAAACCTGCAGATCCAGCTCAACACTGATGGACCTATAAAGTATGTGGAGGTCCTGGGGGGAGACATGATGTCTCAGAGCCAGTCGTTCAGATCGTGTATGTCTCCAATGTCAGAGTACAGTGACTTCACTCTGATTAAGCCCAGCAGCACCTCTGACTTTAAGGAGGTCATCAGTGTCCTGGATGCGTCTCTCCCAGACAGCACGTGGACATTTGAGAGTCAACAGGTGAGCACGACAAAAAAAATAAATATCAAACAGAGACTTTTCTGAAGTTAGGTACATTTCTGCAGTGTGTCCTATATGTTCTGTAATAAGAAATTGTATTTCAGCACCACTGTAGTAAACAGCGACTTCCCCTTCTATAGTGTCAGCCTCCCTTTATATTATATAACTGTTATAAAATATTTAATCAAAAACCTTAATCACATTATACAAAAAAATTAAATAAAATATGTGACCTCCAGTTTATTTATTATTTCCATATAATTGTATATACTCCGTTTCTTCCGTAGTTGTTTTATTTTTCATTTTAATTGGTCAGGCCTTCTCAATAATATGTTTGTGTTTAAATAATAGTAAAACATTATGTAGCCTGCATTTTTTGTAAATTTCAACAAAACTTTGCCGATGAAAATATAAGCTCAGTGGTGTGTGCATGGAGCATAGGAAAAACTGTTTGGTCTGTGATTGGATAGTGGTGTTAGCTGCTCTCAGCCAATAGAATTCCTCCATGTACAAAGAGATCTACTCCTCTGCTGCTGAGTGCTACAGCCATAAGACTCGTCAGTGTTGTTCAGCGCGGAGATGCGCTGTTTGGCAGTTTCCCGTTTTGGGATATTAATGTTTGTTGAGAATAAATCGTTTACTGGATCTTACTTTTTAATGTCAGGAATGATGGGCTGACTCAATTTATCCACTAATGCGACTTGGACTGAGGATTTATCAGTGACAAAAAGGATGGGTCGTGGAGCTGTGGCGTGGTGGACGCTCTGTTGGCATTATTATTTCTTTCTCTTGTGGAGTTTGACAGACATTTGGCACAGACTCGTTACAGCATTCCCAGAGGAACTGAAGCAGGGCTCTGTGGTAGGAAATATCGCCAAAGATCTTGGTTTGGGCTTAACAGACATTTTTGAGCGCAAGATGCGTGTGGCTGCTGAGGCTGGGAAGCAGTATTTCACTGTGGACTCGGGGAAGGGTGAGCTGGTGGTGAACGACAGAATAGACAGAGAAGCTTTATGTGGACAAAGCGCCAGCTGCGTGTTGCCTCTGCAGGTCGTGACAGAAAATCCACTACAGCTTCATCGGATAGAAGTGGAAATACGAGATATTAATGACAATTCACCAGTGTTTTTAACAAAGCAACATGTTTTAAAAATAGCAGAGTCTACTGTCGCAGGGGTTCGTTTCCCTTTAGACACAGCCCACGATCCAGATGTAGGTAGTAATAGTGTCAAATCTTACACTCTGAGTAAAAGTGAATATTTTAGTTTAAAAATGAAGGTTTTGCCTGGTGGCTTACAGGCCCCGGAACTGGTTTTAGACAAAATGCTTGACCGAGAAAAACAGAGTGCTCACGAATTGCTTGTAACAGCATTTTGATGGAGGAAAACCCCGTCAAAACAGGTGAAATGAAAATGATAGTTACAGTACTCGATACAAATGATAATGTCCCGGTATTTTCCAAACCTGTGTACAACCTAACTATCCCTGAGAACAGTGAAGTCGGGGCAGTGCTTGTTAAAGTTGAAGCCACAGACTCGGATGAAGGCGCAAACGGACAGGTTGAATACGCATTTGCTCAACATACTCCAGAGTCTTTGTTAGCTTTGTTTAACGTGAATTCAGATAGTGGTAAAATATCACTAGCTGGACAATTGGACTATGAGTTCAGTAGCGTTTATGATTTGCGTGTTATGGCAAAAGACAAAGGTGTTCCTCAAATGGAGGGGCATTGTCGTGTTCAGGTGATGGTCATAGACATGTAAACGACAATATTCCAGTAATAATTTTTACTTCCACTCCTAATCCAGTGCGCGAGGACGCAAATAAAGGCACTGTAGTTGCTTTAATCAGTGCCAGAGACCTAGACTCGGGCGATAATGGTAAAGTAGTTTTGAAGTTACCAGTGGGGTCTCCGTTTAGCCTTAAACCGTCATTTTCTAATAATTACGCACTTGTCACTAGTGGTTCTTTAGACCGAGAGAGTTTCCCATTTTATAACATAGAGAGATAACAGCCACAGACTCGGGCTCTCCTCCTCTCTCCAGTAAGAAAACTATCCCTGTCAGTATCTCAGATGTTAACGACAACCCCCCAGTCTTCTCCCAGTCTTCTTATAATGTGTATTTAAAAGAGAACGGGGTCCCTGGCTCTATACTGTACTCGGTGTCAGCCTCGGACCTGGATTTTGGAGAAAACGCCAAAGTGTCTTACTCTATTCTGGACTCTAAAGTGCAGGACGTGTCAGTCTCGTCTTATGTCTACATAAACTCAGAGAACGGCAGCATCTACAGCATGCACTCGTTTGACTATGAGAAGCTCAAGGTGTTTCAGATCGTGGTCCAGGCCAAGGACCAGGGCTCTCCGAGTCTCAGCAGCAACGCCACGGTCCATGTTTTTATCCTGGACCAGAACGATAACGCCCCCGCTGTTATTTACCCCTCCTCCGCTGGCCTGGGCTCCCTCTCTCTCCAGAGGATGCCCCGCTCCGCTAAAGCGGGTCACCTGGTTACCAAGGTGACGGCCGTGGACGCGGACTCGGGTCATAACGCGTGGATCTCGTACAAAGTGGCGGAGGCCACGGACGCGTCTCTGTTCGGTGTGAACCAGTACACAGGGGAGGTGAGGACTAAACGCGCTGTGGCCGAGCAGGACGACTCCTCTCAGAGGCTGCTCATAGAGATCAGGGACGACGGTGAACCGGTGCAGTCCGCCACCGTCACGGTGTCCATCCTGATGGAGGACGGTCTGCACGAGCCCATCCTGGACAACAGGCACAGAGCAACGGAGTCCGGAGGGAAAACTGGCCGCCTCGCGCTCTATCTGATCCTGTCTCTGGCCTCGGTGTCTGTGCTGTCTCTGGTGACTTTTCTCATCTTAGCGGTGAAATGTGTGAGGAACAGCAGGGGCAGCGCGAGCTGCTGCGTCAGACGCAGCGACTGTGACGATTACAAGAACCCCAACAGAAACCTGCAGATCCAGCTCAACACTGATGGACCTATAAAGTATGTGGAGGTCCTGGGGGGAGACATGATGTCTCAGAGCCAGTCGTTCAGATCGTGTATGTCTCCAATGTCAGAGTACAGTGACTTCACTTTGATTAAGCCCAGCAGCACCTCTGACTTTAAGGAGGTCATCAGTGTCCTGGATGCGTCTCTCCCAGACAGCACGTGGACATTTGAGAGTCAACAGGTGAGAGTATGTGAAGATAAATGGCAATTTGAAATTTCTCTGAAGTTAGTTAATCTTCTGTAGTGTGTCCTTTTATGTCTTCTTCACTGAGCAAGTTGTAGTTCAGCACCAAGACTGTGGACAGCGTCTGTCCCCAGTATGTTATAAAATAATTAATGAAAAACTCAAATCAAATAATTAGAACATAATGGGAATTAATTACTCAAAATGTTCTGAACGTTTTGTGAAATACATAAATACATTTTATATAATATTTTATTTACAGTTCTTTTCATACATAACACATGTATATGAATTTGCATATTTATATATGTATGTTTATATGTTTATGTACATATGTATGATTTTTTTTTTGTGTGTTTTCTCTTTTATGGGGGGAGGAGGGAGTAAGGCCGTGTATATAATATAATGGCGTTTTAATACTATTGAAGTGTAATATTTTATGTGTTCTAATGTGCTAGATTTTATGTTAATTACTACAAAACTTTGCTCAACAAAATATAACTCGATAGTGTACATATAGAACAGGGAACCTGGCTGCTCTTTTATTGGCTGGTGGTGTTAACTGCTCTCAGTCAATAGAATTCTCCCATGTACAAAGAGATCTACTCCTCTGCTGCTGAGTGCTACAGCCATAAGACTCGTCAGTGTTGTTCAGCGCGGAGATGCGCTGTTTGACCGTTTCCCATTTTGGGATATTAATGTTTGTTGAGAATAAATCGTTTACTGGATCTTACTTTTTAATGTCAGGAATGATGGGCTGACTCAATTATATCCACCAATGTGACTTGGACTGAGGATTTTATCAGTGACAAAAAGGATGGGTCGTGGAGCAGTGGCGTGGTGGACGCTCTGTTGGCATTATTTCTTTCTCTTGTGGAGTTTGACAGACGCACAGACTCGTTACAGCATCCCAGAGGAACTGAAGCAGGGCTCTGTGGTAGGAAAATATCGCCAAGATCTTGGTTTTGGGGTTAACAGACATTTTTGAGCGTAAGATGCGTGTGGCTGCTGAGGCTGGGAAGCAGTATTTCACTGTGGACTCGGGGAAGGGTGAGCTGGTGGTGAACGACAGAATAGACAGAGAAGCTTTATGTGGACAAAGCGCCAGCTGCGTTTTGCCTCTGCAGGTCGTGACAGAAAATCCACTACAGCTCCATCGGATAGAAGTGGAAATACGAGATATTAATGATAATTCACCAGTGTTTTTAGCAAAGCAAAAGTCTTTGAAAATAGCTGAGTCGACAGTGGCAGGAGCGCGTTTTCCTTTAGAGACAGCTCAGGATCCGGATGTAGGTAGTAATACTGTGAAATCTTACACTCTGAGTAAAAGTGAATGTTTTAGCCTAAAAATGAAAGACTTGCCTCGTAACCGACAGGTCCCGAGCTGGTTTTAGAAAAAATGCTTGATCGAGAGAAACAAGGGGTTCATGAATTACTACTGACAGCATTAGATGGAGGAAATCCTGTTAAAAGCGGAACAATGAAAATATTCGTTACAGTACTTGATAATAATGATAACTTTCCAGTGTTTAA